GCTGCATTGCGTTCCTTCTCCCGGGGCCACCCACGGGACCATGCCCCCCCGCCCCCAGCACTGGCCTGACAGAACCCAGGGCAGGCGCAGACCACGTGGCAGCAGGGATGGCGTGGAGACTTCCTGCCCTGTCCTTGGCTAGAAACTTCTGGGCCACCCTCATGGGCCTCCGCCCTGGGCAGCAATGATCCTGGGAATGTACATTACTCCAAGTCCTTCAAAAGAGAGGAGTGGTCCTTCGCAGGTACCTTTCCCTTCCTGCTTGGCTTTTGGTGAGTCCCAGGGACTTTGAACCTCCCCACCACACCCCACAGGGGACCCAAGGGTACACGGCCAACACAGACTTCTTTTCCACTTTTTAAAAATTATTTTTCCAGTATTGGGAACTGGACCCAGAGCTTCACACTTAAGCTACACCCCCAGCCGATTTATTTTTGCTTTGAGACAAGTTCTTTCTTAAGTTGCTAAATTGCCTAGTTGGACTGGAACCTTCAACCCTGCCTCAGCCTCCCAGAGTGCTAAAATTATAGGCCCGGCCTCACTTATTCTTTCTTATTGAGCTTGTATTGTGCACAGGCACTGCTTTTGAACTGTTTTAAAAACCATAATTATAAAATATTTTTTATCAAAACTGGGTCTTTGAGCCGGGCGTGGTGGCACACGCCTGTAATCCCAGCACTCAGGAGGTTGAGGCTGGAGGATCGTTGTGAGTTCGAGACCAGCCTGGGCTATAAAGTGAGCTCAAGGTCAGTCTGAACTGCAGAGCGAGACTCTCAAAAAGACAAAAAACAAAAAACAAAAAACAAAAACAAAAAAACTGGGGCTTTAAATTATTTTCTTTAAATAGTACTGTTAATTTTTTTTTTTGGTACGGAGAATCGAACTCAGGACCTTATGCTTGCCAGGCAGGCACTTGCACCACTGAGCTATATCCCCAACTCAATACTGTCCATTTTTATCACAGAACAAGATCTTTAAATTTGTAAGTTTGTGCTAACTTACTTCTTATGTCTACCACCTGTCACTTAATATCTGCAGTAAAAAAAAGAATTTTCCCATTTAAAAAAGCTGGGCATGGTGCTGCCTGCCTCTAATCCCAGCTACTCAGGAGGCTGGGGCAGGGGGATTGAAAGTTTCAGGTCAGCCTGAGCAATTTAACAAAACCTTGTCTCTCAAAATAAAATTTAAAACAGGCTGGGGACTGGGGAAGTAACTCAGTAGTACAGTACTTGCCGGCATGCATGAGGCCCTAGGTTCCATCCCCAGTAGCCCCCAAAATTAATTACTCAAACCCCTGCCTGGTAGAGTATGCATACTGTCAGAGGGGAAATAGACAAAGCATCAAATAAAAATACAGAAGGTGTCGGGCATGGTGGCTCATGCCTGTAATCCCAGCACTCTGGGAGGCTGACACAGGAGAATCATGAGTTTGAGTCCAGCCAGAACATATTACATAGTGAGACCCTACACTGCCCGCCCCCAAAGAAAGTCAGATGAGAGCAGATGGGGAAAAGTGCAGCTTGAAAAAGCCATGGGCTTCTGAAGGAGGGTGCTGAGGGAAGGAGTCAGTCTGACAGACATCCCAGGTCCTGGAGGCAGGAAGAGCAAAGGCCCTGAGGCAGGACATTCTTGGTGATCTTGAGGGACAGAAGCAAATATGCCTGGTGGGAGGGGCCATGCAGGGCTTTGAGTGCCAAAAGGACTTTGGCTTTTACTCCAGGAGAAATGGCAAGCACTGTAGGGCTTGGGACCAAGGCCTGGTGTGGGCGCTGAGGAGTCTGCTGCCCTGTAGAGAACAGACCAATATTCTGGCTACGCTGGCCTGAATTAACTCCAGGCCTCGCAAAACTTTGTTACTGCTATAAATATTATTTATTTTAATAAGAGCTGTGGTACTTGGCTTCTGCCCAAGGCAGAGCCCTGACTAATCAGGCCCATAGGGACAGGGAGAGGGGCCCAGAACTGGACACAGTCTCAGGAAACCTCATCAGCCTCAAAGGGGACCAGGGCACTGTCACCATGGCAACAGCTTGGCTGCCCCAAGACAGAGTTTCCCAGAGAGCCTTGCTCTGTCAGCCTGCTGGAGGAGTCGCCTCTAGCTTATTGCATCCCTGTGTCTGGTTCAGGCAGATCTGGAAAACACAGCTTTACTATAAGATGCCCCCAGTGTATGGCATCCTGACTGTGTCTAATCTTCTCCAAGTATGCCATGAAATTCTCACAGATATCCTCACAAGACCAGCTCAAATGCACCTGGTCATAAATTAGAAATGCGTTTCAAACAGGAAGGGTGGGGAGGTGGGGCAGCTGGAGTAGATGTCCTAAAAATTCAAAGTAAGATAGGAAAATTTGCCCTAAGAAAATTGGCGCTCCTAACCTGGCTCATAACTCCAAACTGCTTTTCCAAGGGCCTGTCTACACCTCTTGCACCACCTTAGCTGTGAGCCCGAAAGTGCTTTCTAGCAATGGAAGAAAGCAGGCCTCGTTTATCCTAACCTCTGGATGTGCCACGTATTGACTTCGGGCTGGGATTTCCTCAGCTTGCAATAAAGAAGAACAACCACCGGATGGCAGCAAATGTGCAGTAAGCAAAGTCAATTCCTTTTCAGAATTCAAAGTGCACAGTCGCAGGTCTGAACAGAAGAGCTGGGATCTGTGATGTGGCAGGCTCCATTTGACTGCTTTAAAAGTAAGATCTTTTGCCTGTAAATAGATTCAGTTTGATGAAATTCAAGTGTATATAAAGAAGACTCATAATCCAATAAAAAATACAAGCACAGCAAAGGAGTTTAATATGTATTCTAAAGATATGTGCTTTCCCAAATTGATTTGTGGATTCAATGCATGATCAGAACCTGCAAGATTTTTAATGGGGTTTTAACGAGATGATTCTAAAATTTATATAACCAGAAAGTGATGAAGTACTGTATTCAGAGGAAGAGAGAGAAAGAAGAAAAGAGCAAAAACTAATCCACAATAAAAAAAACAAAAAAAAACTAATCCACAATGAAAGAGGTATGTCAAAGGGACACAGGAGCCAACTGCAAGAACTTCTGACAGCCACAGCTAGAACAATCTGAGCAACAAAAGCAAGTAGTAAAGGGTTATCACAAAAGCACAGAATAAACTTCCTGAATCCATACTGATACAAATAATTTGGGGGAGGCGGGCATGGTACGCCTGTAATCCCAGCACCCCGGGAGGCTGAGGCAGGAGGATCATTGTGAGTTCAAGGCCAGCCTGGGCTACACAGTGAGCTCAAGGTCAGCCTTAACTGCATAGCAAGACTTTGTCTCAAAAAGACAAGAGAAAAACAAAACAAAACAAAAAAAAAACACAACCACAAATAATTTGGGGGCTTCCCTCCCCCTTTTTTTTTTCTGAGATTGGCTTTCACTATGCAGTTTAGGCTGGCCTTGAACTCACTTTGTAGCCCAGGCTGGCCTCAAAATTGCAGTGATCCTCCTGCCTCAACCTCTTGATTATCACAAATCAACAAAATTGCAGTGATCCTCCTGCCTCAACCTCTTGATTATTACAAATCAATTGCTGAGATTACAGGTGTGTGCCACCATGCCTGGTCTGATAGAAATAATTGAATAAACAAAGAAGAAAAAGTCACCTGTATATAAGAATTCCAAACAATTTTTGTAAATATGTGCCCTCAAAGAACATAACTGCCCACTCTGTTTTTTCTTTTTTCAGTACTAGCGGTGGACTCCAGAGATACTGGACCACTGAGCTTCATCCCCAGCCCTTTTCATTTTTTTACTTAAGTTGCCCAAGCTAGGCTCAAACTTGCAATCCTCCTGTCTCAGCCTCCTTGGTGCTCTAAGTTGCTTGGTGCCTGCTTAAGCATCATTCCTGAAAGCTGGGCTATACATGGTGACTTCCAAAAACTACAGCATGGCAAGGGGACAAAAAAAGGAGCTTCCCAGTGGTGACGCCTAAGGAGTACTGCACAGACCAGGTAATCAGTGTCAGCATCACTGGGGATGGGTCAGGTGGGGAGCACTAGACCCTTGGTACCATGAGACGGGGAGGACTCTGGTCTTGGTCCCCCAAATCCACAGTTCCAGTCTAATAATGGGGAAACATCAGGCAAATCCAACAGCTGGGTGTCCTACACTCCACCTGACCCGTGTTCTCCAAACTCTCAAGGTTCTCAGCACAAGGGAAGCATCAGCAGACTGTCACAGCAAGAGAGGCCATGGCAGACATGATGCCGGATGTGACATGGTGCCGTGGCTGGTACCCTGAAACAGAAAACGGGCTTGAAGTAAAAAGGAGGAAATCTGAAGGCAGCATGGGCTTTACTAAAAGGAACAAGCACAAGGTAAGAGGCAATTCTCAGGGAAAGGAAGCAAGATGGCAGCAAACGTGAGGACACGTTCCATAGCACTGGCAATGGAGAAAATGAAAATTAAAGTCACAGCGAAGCCAGGCGTGGTGGCACACGCCTGTAATCCCAGCACTCGGGAGGCTGAGGCAGGAGGATCACTGTGAGTTTGAGGCCAGCCTGGGCTACAAAGTGAGCTCAAGACCAGCTTGAACTACATTTCAAGACCCTGTCTCAAAAAGACCAAAAACTAAAAAATAAAATAAAATAAAAATAAAGTCACAATGAGACACCCTTTTGCACCCGTTATTTATTTATTTATTTATTTATTTATTTATTTATTTATTTATTGTCTTTTTGAGACAGGGTCTATCTATACAGTCCAGGCTGACCTTGAGCTCACTTTGTAGGCCAGGCTGGTCTCATACTCACAATGATCCTCCTGCCTCAGCCTCCTAAGTGCTGGGATTACTGGCGTGGGCCACTATGCCTGGTGTACCCATTTCATTGGTGGAAATCATATATATATGTATATATATATGAATGATCTCAAAATCATATGATCTGGGGACAGAACCCAGAGCCTTTGCACTGAGCTACATCCCCAGGCTTTGTTTTTGTATTTTTTATTTGGAGACAGGGTCTCACTACATCGCTAAGTTGCTCAGGTTGGACTTGAACTTGTGATCCTCCTGGTGCAGCCTCCCAGAGGGCTGGGATCACAGATGTCCCCAGGCCTGCCTTGGTTGGTAGAGACTTGAAAACGCTGACGTATCAGGAGAAATGTGGGTCCACAGCTTCTTTGTTGGCCCCGGGTGCCACGGTGAGGCACTCTCTGAGTTTCCACAGCGCTAGACCGGTGCAGGCTCTGGACCATCTGTCTGGCTCTGGGCTGAGGACAGGCACAGGGAGAGAGGAGAGGCAGCCGGTGACTTGGCCCTGGCAGCAGTGGGGATGGTGGGAAGTGATGAGAGTCGACTTGACACCGCCCCACCCTCTTTCACGCTGGATTGAGCTGATTTGTGGTTTTGACTCCCCCACCTCATACCATGGACTGAGGACCCCAGGAGGCCGAGACTGCTCTTTATCATTCCTGGTCAGTCCCTATCACAGGTCCCGCAGAGTGGAAGGAGCCAGGAGTGAACTCGTGAGTAACCCCAATCATGTTTTTCCTCTACCGCTCACCCCTGTATGGCTCCGTATTATGTGGGCGGTGATCACACAGACTCTCCCATTTCCAGGTCTTTTCTAATTCTATCCCCTCCTCCAGGAGAAGCAAAGGCTTTCACTGGAGTGGGTGTGAGTAAGGGCAGTCGGGGTGCCCCAACCTCTCTGGGAGAGCTTGCCTTGGGTCTTTTGCCTTATTTTTTTCAGCTGTACCTGGGTAACCTACTTCCAATTGGTACAGATTTTGAACTCCTGCCAGAAAAGTAAGTTTTCCCAGGCCCGAGAGTGGCAAGCCCAAGGGCAGAAGGGGCCCAGGAGAGCCTCACCCATGGGTGTGCTTCACAGGCCCAGGCAGGAAAGAGTGTGCCTGTGATGGGAGGTAATATCCTCTTCTGCCCTGCGTTTTAGGCTCTGGGGATTCCGACGGGAACAGTCTTGGCCACAGCGGGTGATCCTGTGATGCCATGGAGAAAGCCCCTTACCCCACCTACATCTTCCCTGCTGGGGGATTGCCTTTCCAGACTCTAGTTGAAAGCAAAAAAATTATGTTAAAGGCCTTTCACTGGAAGGGTAAGTGGTGGGTGGCTGTGGGTCTATTCTTGGAAAAAGGGCAGGAACCAAAGCAGTGTAGCCTCAAGATGGAATGTGGAATCCACAGGCTTGGTCTTGGGGCCCATAGGATCTGTTTGACCCATATGCCTGCGAGTATCCTGTGAGACTTATTCTAACCCATATCTCAGAGTTCCCACGGTGAACACTGGCTAAGAGTGTGGCCCTCCAGCATTTATAGATAGACAGAGACCCCTGGCTCTCCCCTCCCACCAAGGCCGTGAACAATGGGACAGAAGGAATTCCCTGGAAGGGACTAGGGAGGTGGATTCCCAAGTCAAACTTGGAAGTGTCCCTCCCGAGACTGAATCCACCTGCAAAGTCATTTCTCTGGGTGAAGCCTGGCACTCTCTCTCTGATCGGCCACTTAGGCTGCCAAACTCTCCCTGGCTGGGTAACCCAAGGTCCCTGACCTACTGGTGTAGGTTCTAGCCGTGGCCTTGCCCAGGTTTGGGGTGGTCACCAGGAATGGCAGTGATACCTGGGGCCAGCCAAGGAGGCTGGAGCCAGGCCATGATCCTACCCCACAGCTTTGCCTGACCACCTCAGGAGTCTGAGTGGGTGAGTTCCCCCAGTCCTTTCTGTTACCAAGCCTGTGACAGCCCTGCTGGGGCCTCTTTTGGTGAGGACTCCAGAGTCACCAAGTCTCTTTCAGTGGAGAGGCGGTTGGGGGAGGAATCTCTGGCCCCTCAAAAGGTAAAAGTGCAGCTCGCCTTTACCACCAGCCCCAGCCCCTCTCCCTGCTGATAGGTGATTGGGTCTGCAGGCAGAGAAAGCCCACCATGAGGGGTCAAGAAGGGCAGGGAGCAGGGGCCACAGTGAGGGGAATCTGGCAGGAAGCAGCTTCACAGATTTCATGGATTTCTCCAGGTCTGAAGATGAATGGTTTTCTACCAAACAGGGGTTGCCACAAGGATCCCCGGAGAGGTGGTTCAGTGGGCATGGTGATGCCTTAGGTGGAACCAGGTGCGTGTTCCCCGGGGACACAGTGTGTGGCTCAGCCCCCATCCCCCAATTCTCCATGGGACTCTGTGTTGGGCTACAGCTGCAGACAGGTGTCTGAGGGGCCCCAAATGCCAGCCCTACCTGCCCTCCCAGCCCAGTGATACAGGGCTTCCACCATCATCCCTGACCCGCCCTCCCTCCAACCCAGTGGACTTAGGTCAGTCTTAGACCAGTTCCATTCTGGCAGAGGATAGAGAAGAGACCCATGGGTTTTGTTGTCAGGACCCAGCCTGTATTTCAGGGTTGCCTCAGTGTTTTTCAGGGCCACTCCTGACTCCCCTCCAGCAGCCAGGAACTGGATGGGCATTTCGGAGAGAGCAGCTGGCTGGATTTAGCCAACAGGCACACTGGCAGGAGATGGGAGAAGATGGGGAACTCACAGAATGGATTCCCTGGACTCCTCCTTGCCACGCTGAGTGGAAACCTGAAGCTCCCACTGGGAAAACTTCTCTAGCAGCTACTTATGATTCCAGTGATGCTGTTCTTGAACCTGGTAACTGTGCCCTGCTATTGTATGCCTGGGACACATCACTCACTCATTTCTCTTAAGTCTTCCTACTCCATAGTAAACAATCTCTTTATTAAATTTCCCCAGCTGCTCACTGATTTCCTGCGAGGACCCTTACTGGTATAGAAAGAGAATACACGGTAAGTCTCAAGGGTATGCATAGGGCCCTGTGTCCCACTGGAGAATCTGAAGGTGGCCAAATATTCCTCTTTGCCTTTTAGTTAATAATATCCTTTACTTATTGTGGGCTGATCAGGTCCACAATCTCTGAAACAAATGTATGGTGAAGGCTAAATAAAAAGAGGTGAATGGGATGATTTCAGGGTTCCAGGAAGATTAAAGCCCTCTCACAGAATTTGAGATTTGCTCAGGGCTGAGATCAAGACCTTCTCTGGGAGGCCCATATTTATTTGGTTATCAGAAAAAGGGAGGGGTGTACTCAAGAAGGGCGGAATCACTTAAGAACTTCTCTAAATAAGGTATTAAATTAATCCACCCAGGAGTGAGATGTCTGAGACTATAGTCTTTACCTGGTTGAGATGGATCCCGGTGTCCTTGGCTGTGATCTTGTTTTGTCCTTTGAGGCTGTCCTGCTTCATCCACCACTACAGGTTTTAGTAGGGATTAGTGACTCACAGAGGTTCACTGACTATGAGTCTGCCATTTCCCAGACAAGGAGCCTAGGCCTTGGACAGATTCAGAAATGAACATGAAAAGCCATTTTTCTTTTTTTGTACCAGGAATTGAACTCTGGACCTCCTGCTTGTGAGGTAGGAATGATTCCACTGAGCTATATTCCCAGCCCCAAGTGATTAATTTAAGTCCTGCTCAGGTCTGCTTCGTAGTGGTCTCCATCACTTGCCATTGCCAGCTACCTGGTCTTCCTTGGACTTTAGGTGTTGGGTGAGGCATGAAGAACTCAATGGACAGTTTAGAACCCATTTACTATAGAAGTGGCCAATGGCAGAGATGGAGATATTTGGGAAGAAGCCATTGGGACCCAACCTGCTGCCTGGCCACCCACAGCTCCTGTCCATTTTTGGAGCCTACTTTCCCATCCTGCCAATCAATTCCCTGGATCCCCAATAGATCCTTCTAAAGGATTTGTGCTGCCAAATTTAGCTGGAGTCCATTTCTGTTGCTTGCATCCAAGGAATTCTGATGCAGGGTTTGCTTTTAGAACGCACACAGAAGTGAAGTGTCTCTGGAACCTCTCTCAGCAGATGTTCAGCCTCATAGGGGTCCTAGATGACTGAGATATACTGTAGCTCTCACAGAAAGGCAGGCATGAAGCTTACTCTGTCCGTCCTCGTGGCTACCATTTAGGGTAGGTTCTTTACTGTACCATCACATTGCTCCTGTTATACAGAAGTTTCAGTTTATCCCCTAACCTGCACCTCAGGAGAGAGAATCTGCTTGGTTCAGTTTGCCTTCATCCAGTATTGATCATCCACAATGGGCAGGGGGCCATGCCAGCCCCTTTGGAAGAGCTAGCCTCCTGCTTCTTAGCTACCTACAGCACTCCTATCTGCTGTGACCGTGGGAGAGAGTGAATGAGTGAGAGAGTGAGTAGGGTCTTCTCTTAGCCTCCTGGTAAGGAGCAATGAATCACACCCTTCTCCCAAGGTTTCCGTGCCTCTGTCTTAGCACGTCTCACACTCAGCCCATCCTAGAGTCTGTGTGGAAAGTTCTTTCTCTTGAAGGTGAAAAAGTTCACTCTCTGTAGCTCTGTGCCCCAGCTCAGCAGCAGAGTAACCCTAGTTGGTTTTTCCCACGTAGCTTTCCAGCAAACCATAAATAGACAAAGCCATTAGAATCAGATGAAAAATTTACAACGAGACTCTGGTTCCCATGATGTGCCTGACTTTTCAATATGATTTTAAGACAAACCATATACAGTTCACCCAGGATGAAGTCACTCTTGTTCTAAACCATAATTATAGCCTTTTCTAACCTGATTGGCCTTGCTGTTGTCCACTTTCATCTGTAAGTCCCCCAGTAAACTGCACTCTGTGCAATCCTAGATCTGTCTGCCTCTTTCTTTGATATCACGGCATCATAGGGCTGATCCTCATGCACTAGGACTGAGCTGTTCTGGCACAAAATGAGACTTGAATAAGCTCTCCAGCAAAAAAAAAAAAAAAAAAAAAGTATTGAATCCTATTTATAGGATCCTATGATTTTCCCCTCTATGTGCCTGGTACTGCTTTACAGCAGAAAAGGATCCAATAAGTGCCCACTGGATTAAGCAGAGAACACTTATGAGTCACCTACTATTTGTCAAACACCATGACTGGCCAGGACGGAGTAGCATTACCGAGCCCTTGATATGTGCCGGGGCCGGAACCTCACACATTCACCCTCACAGTAACCCCACTGGGTAGACATGATTACTGTCTCTGCAGATGAGACATGTGAGGCGCAGATAGGCACATAACTTGCCTAAGTAGTGGATGGGGTCCTAGCCAGGCAGCCTGGCTGCAGAGCTGACGTTCTTACCTGTTTTACCAGGCTGTTTCTCAATGCTGAATTTGCCACTGAAACTTCTGGGATTCCAATTACAGCCACATAAAAAATTTAAAAATTATTCTAAGTTAATCTGCCCAACAGACATCCACAAGGGCCCTGTCCCACCCATCCTTGAGGGAGGCAGGACTCACGGGTGGGGCTGAGGAACCGGAGGGAAGATGCCATCTCACACATGCCTTGAAAAATAAAACGCTGAAAGTTGAATGACTGTGTTTGTCAGCTTTGGGAGAGACACTGTGTACCATCTCCTGAGAAATTTGGTAGCTGTAATTCCCCAAAACACTTATAAAAGAGCAAGGTTGGGTACATTTCGGACTTGGGCACCAGGGCTTCCAGACCAAGTCTGAAGTAAACATGTCACAACGCTGCCCACATCCTACGAGGCCCATGCAGGACACCAGTCCACACACACTGGGGTGTCATGGAGCACCCCAAGGAGGCCTGGCCCTGCCCTCTGAGCCTGCTTTGGTCTCTGCAAGGACACTTGCCCCCTACATGACCAAGCCTACCCACTTCCCCTCCACAGCCAGGCAGGCCAGGGAACTTCCCCAGGGCACTTCCAGGTCTCCTCAGCCACTGGGACAGGCTGCCACAGTTGGAGAGCTGTTTCAAATATCATTGGAATAGGAGTACTTGCTAGACTTGAGACCAGCGGAAATGACAGGGGTCACTTTATTTCTCCAAGTGATTCCACAGAACTGCTTCAATGGGTTGCAACCTCAGATCATTTGTTAAAACCACAGCTTCCCCTGAGCCAATCTTAGACATAAGAAATCAGAAGAGGAGCAGGGGCTCAGAGCGGGACACTGCCTTGAGCAGTGAGCCAGCCGTGCCGCCGGGGTGGGGGAGTCAGATGAGTGAGGCACATGGTCTGTCCCTCCCTCTCCAAAAGGAGCATGGGCCGCTCCCGGAACACTACCTGAATGGCCTTGTTTCCTGAGCACACCAAGCTCTTCCCCACTTCCCCAAGCTGAGCTCTACCAGGAATGCAGTTCCCAGATGTTCCTGCAGGTGGCTCTTCCTCAGTCCTAGCTACTGTTTACAGGACACCCTATTCTATGATTCTCTCCAGCAGCCCCTAAGCTATGTTCCTTTCCTTACTAAAACCCCATGCTCAACTGTGTAGGCAGTAGATGCACCACAAATGGCTACTGCATGTAGATTGTGACATAAAAAGGGTAGTGAAGCTGGGCGTGGTAGCGCACGCCTGTGATCCCAGCACTCGGGAGGCTGAGGCAGGAGGACTGTTGTGAATTCCAGACCAGCCTGGGCTACAAAGTGAGCTCAAGGCCAGCCTGAACTGCACAGTGAGACCCTGTCTCAAAAAGACAAATAAATGGTAGTGATCACCAGTTCACTATTTCTACAAAGTGGTGGAGGAAGATCCTGGCACAGTTCACAAAGGAAAGCCGAGACCAGGAACAACTGTGGGACACCTTGCACCTAGGCTCCACTCCCACTCTCCTCCCTCAACCTGGGTCCTCAATGACCCAACTAGAACCAAGTTCCAGATTCCCACAGATCACGAGACACCTAACAAAGAGTCTGGATGTGTTTATTTTCATTCACAAATTTCATAGAAAAAGATACAGCATGGGTCAGGGTATATGAAAAAAATGCATGTTTTTACACAGCCACTCTATGTACACGTGGGATCAGGGTCTCCTTGCATCAGGCACAGCAGCTGCACTTGTCCGACGCCCCTTTGCAGATGCAGCCCTGGGCGCACTTGGCACAGCCCACGGGGCAGCAGGAGCAGCAGCCTGGGGAAGAAAGGGGACAGCGAGAGGTCAGACAGTCTCACTCCAACAGCAGGCCTAGCAGCTCGGTCCCTACCCTCAAAGGAACTTCAGTTCAGGAGGAGCTTGTCAGGAGGAGCTGGTGGATCTTTAGAGTCAGGCTTCCTGTGAAGGCTGCTCATCCCCACCTGGGCCCAGGACAGGGCAGAAGGCCTGGAGAAGCCAGCCCTGTCCCCCCAATTCCACAAAGTGAGAAAATCCAAGAGGAGGTGGGACAAACGGCTAACAGAGCAGCTCTGGTGGGAGCTGGGGAAGCTCTGGAGGTGCCCTGAGAGGAAAAGGCTGACTGACACAGCAGGTTAGAAACCACATGTGGTCACCAAATCATGTGCATTCAGTGCTTCAGGACCCACGTGTACTGAGAAGCGGAGACCCCACCAGGCCTGCTTGCATCTGGCTGAGATTGCAGGCTGGCAATCCTAGCATTCCGGGAGGCTGAGGCAGGAGGACTGCAAATTTGAGCTCAGCCCAGGCAGTCTATCAAGGCCCTGTCTCAAAGTTAAACATTTTCAAAAGGCCAGGCGGTATAACTCAGAGCAAAGGCCCTAGGTTCAGTCTCCTGTACTGGAGGGCCTCGGGGAGCAGACCTAAGATCAAGTTCTGACTCAGACTCTGACAGAAGGGGGTGACCTCTCTGAGCATTGGCTCGGGTCCAGTCCAGACCTGCAAGCTCGGTCCACTAACGACTCAAGGACGTCTCACCCCACTTCTCACAGGCTAGCATAGGCTTTTTGTCCTCGGTCCGGAACGGGCAAGCTTCCCTGCCTCTCTATAAGGAGAGGGTGGGGCTCTATGGGTCTTTGAGCTGGAGCTCAGATCCTAAATCCGGGCCGGAAGGAAGAGGGTGGGGAGTAGGTCATTGGCCTGCTGCCCTCTGGGGTCCACCTCTGCCCAGCCCCACACTCCCAGGGGAGCCACACTCACTTTTCTTGCAGGAGGAGCATTTGCATGCTTTGCACGTGCAGGAGCCCGCGCAGGCGCAGGAGCCGCCTGTGAAAAGAAAGGCAGTGAGCGAGACGCAAGGGGCACAGCGGGGGTCCTTAACTCTCCGCAGCCCTCCTGTGAGCCGAAAGAAGAAAGAAGCACATCTTCTGTCCTGTCATCTCAAACGGTCAAGTGCCTCCTTCTCTTTGCCCACTCAGGGACTGGACTCAGCCCGGGATGACTGGGGCTGGAGACCAGGGCCATATGTCCTGAACTCCTAAGAGGCAACTCCTGTCTTCCATCCACCCTGACTGGAGGTCTGCACAGAGCCCGGGGGCCCAGCCAGCAGCCTCCTCATCAGCTGTGCCACATCAGGTAGGTCAGCGTTGAGCCCAAACTTTGACATAGAACACAGGGCAGATAGAAATGCTGTCGGATGCATAGCCAGAAGGAGAGTACCGCCGGGCGTGGTGGCACACGCCTGTAATCCCAGTACTCGGGAGGCTGAGGCAGGAGGAGGATCGTTGCGAGTTCGAGACCAGCCTGGGCTACAAAGTGAGCTCAAGGCCGTCCTGAACTGCATAGTGAGACCCTGTCTCAAACAAAAAGAAAAAAAACGAAAGCATCGGACAAAGTGAGTCCACATAGCTCAGAACTCAAATGTGACCTCCTCAAACCCAGGCACACGCTGTCCTGGCCCTGGGATCTGGGTATCCCAAGGTCCAGAGCTGGGACTCTCTTACCAGTGGTGCAGGAGCAGTTGGGGTCCATGCTGAGCCGAAGTGAGAGCGGACGTCCGAGGCAGAAAACGAAGCGGCAGATTGTCGTCTGGAAGTCCCGTGGAGCTAGCAGCCCGCCCGCTAGTTTTATAGCCAAGGAACTGCGCCGGGCGCAAAGGCCCCGCCCCAGCCGGTGCGCCCGCCCGGGACTGACACTCTGAGCACGGCCCGCCGCTCTGGGCAGGGCTGAGCGCACCGAGCGCGCCGGGCGCAGAACCCAACGTGCGCTGTGGGGAGCAGCCGGCGCCGCCCCTTGGGTGCCGGGCGCCTCGCGCGGGAGGGGCCGTGCGCTGCTCGCCCCTCGCCGCTTCCCGCAAGTTTGTCCGTCACTGCCGCCGGCGAGCGTTCCCGGAACCCAGTCGCGGGAACCCCCATCCTGGCCCCGTGAGTGCCCAATAGCCTGGCCGGAAGTCCGAGCGCAGCCGTGCGCCCACGCGCTCACCTCACCGCTATGGGTGCGCGATGAGCGAGTTGTGTGCATACGACCCACCGCCCGAGTCACCTTTGCATGGGCGTCCCTGTCTTCACCCCAGTCCTGCCCTGTTTTCTTGTACACTGTAGCAAGTGGAAACAGGCTTCCCCTTACCCCACCCCTCCATTCTCGGGGCCGAAGGGACCTGCGGACACAGCTGTAGGATCCTCCCCGTGGCTCCCGTACTCTAGCCCGGCAACCCACTCCAGGGGGACAGTTTCAAAAAAGAAGACGCCCCGAAAAAGGCATAACTTTAGGTGATATGCAGGTCCTGCGTTAAATAAAAAAGCAAGACAAGTAGGTATTTCTCCAGTGATGCCCGTCCTGCCCCACACTGGGGATTGAACCCAGGGCCTTTGTACTCAGCTACACCCCAGTCTTTTTTTTTTTTTTTCCCTGTCTTTTTGAGACAGGCTCTCCCTATGCAGTTCAGGCTGGCTTGAGCTCACTTTGTAGCCCAGGCTGGTCTCGAACTTGCAACGATCCTCCTGCCTCAGCCTCTCGGGTGCTGGGATTACAGGCGTGCGCCACCACGCCCGGCTCATCCCCAGTCTTAATATTTTTATTTTGAGATGAAGTCTCACTAAACCTCCAAGCTGCCCTCCCCCTCCCCTTCTCCCTCTCCTTCGCCCATCCGCTGCTCTCCTCACTTGAGCTCATCATCCTGCCTCGGCCTCCACAGTAGCTGGGATCACAGCCTTGCGCCACCACACCCAGCTCTCCTTCAGTATTTTTGACCGTTTCAAAGCATTTGCTCTGCCGGAACTGTTTAATCACTTTTCCATCTTTGAAGCTTTGCAACAATCTAAATAGACATGCCGTTTACGAGCCTGTTTCACTAACTGGAAAACTTCAACAGTTTAGCTAAGACGCAGGAAGTGGGGTGCTGCGTCTGAATCCACTCACCCGCTTGGGGAATGAGGTCAATTTCCCCTTAGCCTAGGCATGTCTTTCACGCCTCTGCTGCTTGAAGTCTTTAAGAGACAGCTCAATGCCAGTTATGGGAGGCATAAAACAGAGACACAGATATATGTGTATGTTTCATGACTACCTTTGTGTTTGAAAGTGAGACTGATTTTTGTTTTCCATAGTGGTAACAAGTATACAGGTAAATACATGGATGCGTAGGGTTTCTCATCCAGTGAGGTCATGCTCTGCCACCCCTGGTCAGGGCATAAGGACAGCTGTAGCAGAAATTCATTCACCTTCACTTCCAACCTGTGTGACCTTGGCACTTTGCTTTATTACCTTCTTTGCCTTGCTGGTTTGTCCATGTGTGCCTCCCTGTGCTAACCACAACTAACGGCTCCTTTTGGGGATGTCTGGGGCAGTGCTGCTCAAGGTGTGTGGTCCCCCTCTGTACAGTTCCCAGTCTCCACTGAGCAACATCAGTGAACAGGATGGCGTGTATCTTTCGTTTTCTTATTTCTTTATGTATTTATTGAAATTTTTTTAAATCTAAGAAACGAAACCGGGTGTGGTGGTGCACGCCTGTAATCCCAGCACTGGGGAGGCTGAGGCAGGAGGATCGTTGCGAGTTCGAGACCAGCCTGGCTACAAAGTGAGCTCAAGGCCAGCCTGAACTGCATAGTGAGACCCTGTCTCAAAAAAAGAAAAAGAAATGCATTTGTGTATTGTTCTTTCATTTCATTATCTCCACATTAACATTGTTTCATTTACCAAAGCTTAGGTCTGAGATGCATAGGAAATAACACACTTTCCTCACTGCGCAGTTTGAGAAGCCCCAAGGATTCCAGCCATGGGGAACGGATCACACCCTGTAGTCATTTTGCAGCCTAAAATCCGACAAGGAACAGAAGATGAGAAATAAAGGATTGAGGAGTTTCTACATCATCAACACTTCACCTGAGGCTGGAAGGGACCGCGTAACTATGCCCACCCACCACCCCAACAGGATCTTCGGGCTGCTCTTTCCTTTTACAGAAAATGGAGCTCAGTGAGGTGACCTAACCCTACCTGCAGGGCTTGCCTGAAGACACTGTTTCTAAGGGACCAAGTTAATTCCCAAGCCCAGATCTCTGCAATCCCAATTCAGTCCCTGTCACAGTGCTTTATTTCCCAGACACAAAAAGGAAGCCAAAGTCATAATAAAGTCACTGAGTTTTATTCTTCACATACTTCATAGAAAAAGAGTCTTGGCAAATGGGTCAGGGTTGTATGAAAAAAATGGAAGTTTGTATTATCACTCTGTGTACACGTGGGAGCAGGGTCTCCCTGCATCAGGCACAGCAGCTGCACTTGTCCGACGCCCCTTGGCAGACGCAGCCCTGGGCACACTTGGCACAGCCCACGGGGCAGCAGGAGCAGCAGCCTGAGGAAGAAAGGGGACAGCGGGAGGTCACAGCAGATTTATCCCAACGGCGGGCCTGCCGCAAGCTCTGTCCCTGGGGCCCTGGGGGAATCTCCGCCCCCAAACTACACACATAAGGAATGTCCTCAAGGATCGGGTCTGTGCCTGTCTGCCTGATGCACTCTGAGCCTCGGTTTCCTTGCGTTATGACTAAAATCTGGAAATTTTCCTGCTTTGACCCTGTCTGCTGCCCTTGGGACTCCACCTCTGCCAGCAGTACATTCCCAGGGGAGCCACACTCACTCTTCCTGCAGGAGGTGCATTTGCATCCTTTGCACGGGCAGGAGCTGGCGCAGGCGCAGGAATTGCCTGTGAAGAGGAGAAAGGCAGGCAGTGAGTGAGCAGTGAAACGAAGGGGACACAGCAGCGCCTCAACAAATACACCCAGCTCGGGTCCAGTCCAGACCTGCAAGCTCGGTCCACTAACGACTCAAGGATGTCTCACCCCACTTCTCACAGGCTAGCATAGGCTTTTTGTCCTCGGTCCAGAACGGGCAAGCTTCCCTGCCTCTCCAGTGCAGGCACCCAAATGCTGGACAGAGCACTGTTTGGCCCGGCAGCCTCAGCTGCCTGGGTGACAAGGAGCAGGGAGGTCAGGAGCTGGGATACTCTTGCCTCCGACATGGGAGTCCCTGGGAGGGCGTTAATGCCCTGACCTGTTAATGAGGAATCTTGACAAGAGAAAAGAAGCACCAGAACTATCAACTAAGAGAGTCCGCTCCAGTCAAGGCTCAACCTGCGGTGTGCCTTCCACTGCTAGGGACCTCTGCTCTGTTGTTGTGAAACGGATCTCTAAGCACTAAAGCTCGGAGTCTCCTACCAAGGGTGCAGGAGCACCTGGGGTCCATTTTGAGCAGGGAGACTGGAGTTCCAAAGCCGGTAACAGAAAGGCAGGTAGGGCGTGTCTGTCTTCTCAGGTCATCTGCTTACTTTATAGCAAGGGGAACTGGGCCAGGAGCAAAAGCCACGCCTCCACCCTTGAGCCTGGGGGCCCTGCAAGTGCTGGCCCGCCCCGCCGGGAGCCCAGCCCGCCGGCCTTGGCCCGGAATGCCCCGAGCACTAGTCCGTGCGCACCACGGCGCCGCCCCGGGCTTCCGCTGGAGGGCCGTGCACCGCCTGGGGTACTCAGTGTCCCTGTGGCCTCCCTCAGCCGCCCTGTTCCGATTTCCGCCTGGTGACAGGCCCTCTGCGCCCCCTTGCGTTTGGGGCACTCGAGTCCCGTTCTTGTCCAGGCCCATCTGCAGTACTGCGGTCCTCAGTTTCACCTTTGCCCGAGTCCGTGTTCAACCCTAGCCTCGTTAGGCTCCTGGATACGTGCTAGGGGGCTAATGCAAAAGACTACCCTTCCTGTGGGATAGCGCCTGGCACACTTTGCAGCGGAGGCTGTCCTCGAACTCGCCACGATCCTCCTGCCTCAGCCTTCTGAGTGTTGGGATTACAGGCGTGCGCCTCCACGCCCGGCTGTACTTTTATTTTTGCTTTTATCTTTTATCTTTTTTTTTTAAGAGCAGAATATATTTTTTAGAGGAAAGAAAGCTTCTGTGCTAGAGAGAGAGCGACAGAAGGGGACCCGAGCAGGTTGCCCTGCCCTTTTTTTCTCTTTGACCTGTCTGCTCTGCAAAGCTGGTTTCTCCATACCCATTTACCTCCCACTTTTCAAATAAACTTTTTAGCACCATTACTGACTTACCTAATCCAATTCTTTGTTTTTGTTTGTTTGTTTTTGTCTTTTTTTGAGACAGGGTCTCACTATGCGGTTCAGGACGGCCTTGAGCTCACTTTGTAGCCCAGGCTGGTCTCGAACTCCCAACGATCCTCCCAAGTGCTGGGATTACAGGCGTGCGCCACCACGCCTGGCTCCAATTCTTTGTTTGAGGTAAGAACAACCTGGGATACTTTTGATTGGCGGGCCATTTCTAAGGGAACAACAACAAAGAAAGCCAAGCATGGTGGCACACACCTGTAATCTCAGCACTTGGGAGGCTGAGGTAGGAGGATTGTTGCCAATTTGAGACCATCCTGGGCTACCAGATGAGCTCAAGCCCAGCCTGAACTGCATAGTGAGACCCTGTCTCAAAAAAACAACAACAACAACAACAACAACAAAACCACCCTACAACACTTGGATATGAGCTTTGCCTCCTCCACATCACCTGTCTTTGTCCCTATCTCAGTCTTGGATCCTTCGTCCTGCACACAGCAACAGCTCAACATAATTCAGGTCTCTGTCTACCCTTTTCCATGCTGAGGGACCTACAGGCGCTTTATGCAGGCCCTCCTTTGCATCAAATTTCCCCGGGACTGCCCACAGCCTAGTTGCTGGCTGTAATCCAAGATGGCAGCTCTGAAAATTGGGAGAAGCCTCCAAAAGCAGGAAGGCATTAGGTGAGATACAAACCATGTCTTGTGTAAAAAGGCAGGAGACACAGGTGATTCTCTTCCGTTATTCCTTACTGTTGCACAACATTGTTGTCGGGTCCTATTCAGTGACTTAAATTCTTCAGACCCTTTCAAAGATCCTAAAGGGAAATGCTGCTTATAAGTCCATTTTACTAATTGGACAGCTACAACACAAGCTCAGGTAACTTGCTTACAGTCTCAGAGAAACCCAGGTGTGTCCCCATTTCTCAGATGCTGGAATCTTACACAGAAGCAAGACTTCAGCTGAGGCTGAACTCAGATTCTTACCCCATTCCCAACTTCCAATCGAGAGTGACTTCCGGGGCTGGGGATTTAGCTCAGCGGCACAGCGGCTGCCTGGCAAACACAAGGTCGTGAGTTCGATTCCCGGTACTGGGAAAAAACAAAACAAAAACAAACAAACAAAGAGTTACTTCCAAACAGATGGGTCTTTCTCAAGAACCTTATGTATCTAACAGAAATCTGTCTGTAAGAAATCCACAAAGTGATTATGATATAGAGAGAATGAAATGTAACCCCCAACTGCTAGATGTCAGATACTCCCAGTTCATGTTGCCCAGAATTAAGGAGTGAATTCTAAGGAACAATGGAGCTTAAGAGTAGGAAATATTTATTGAGAGAGACAGCTCCTGAGAGACAGGAGGAGACCCCAAAGTGAGTTGGCAATGAGCCCACTTCTCTTTTTTTTTTTTTGTCTTTTTGAGACAGGGTCTTGTTATGCAGTTCAGGCTGGCCTTGAGCTAACTTTGTAGCCCAGGCTGGTCTCGAATTCGTAACGATCTTCCAGCTTCAGCCTCCCCGAGTGCTGGGATTACAGGCATGTGCCGCTGTGCCTGGCTTTTATATGTAGACTTTATTGGGACAGGTGATACCAATTATCTTATTCCTCGGGGAGGTGAGTAGGCTTGGTCATTCCATCTTTATTTTGAGGCCTGGCCTTCAACAGGTACGTCTGGGGTCACAGTTATCATGTGTTCTCATCCTGTGCACTGACTCCCTTGAGGGCCTAGCCCTCTCTGACTGCCTATAATGTTTCTACCTAATTTAGCTGTCTATAGTAACTGTACCAGTGCCACTGGGCATGGTGGTACACTCTGGTAATCCCAGTACTTGGAGGCTGAAGCAGGAGGATATTGCGAGTTCGAGACCAGCCTGGGCTACAAAGTGAGTTCAAGGCCAGCCTGAACTGCACAGTGAGATCCTGTCTCAAAAAGATTAATAATAATAATAATAATAATACCAATGCTTATGAAGCCAGAGCCAGGAGCCAGACAACTTTCTCATTTGCTGCCTGCATAGAGATACAATCTCTCTAGAAAAGTAAGCTCAGAGAGGTTGAGCAATTTGTCAAGGCCACACAGCCAGGAAACAGTGTAATGGATTGTAAACCAGGTCTACCTGATATTGAAACTCATGGCCATAGCAGGAGCTCCAGTTTGGGGAATAATAAGACGGACAATGAGAGGTCAGAGCAGACTTACCAATAGCAGGCCTGGCTCAAGATATAACCCCAGCCTCCGAGCACCTTTCATTCAGGTGACAGCTTGTGGACCTTTGGGGTGAGTCTTGCTATAAGAAAACTGCTCAGCCTCACCTGATTCCAGGACAGGGCAGACAGACTGGAGTGGGTGACAGGGCCTGCAGGGACAGATGAAGGCCACGCCTCCACTTAGGAGGGGAAGGTCCTCAAGTATCAGGTCTGTGTTTTCTGCTTGGTGTGCTCACTAGACCTCAGTTTTCTCTCTTTTTTTTTC